TACCTTTGTTCCCTTCCCATACTCAGCCATGGTAAATTATATCTTATATCTATCTTTCCAATTTCTCCATGGATTTGATGACAAAAAGCATATATGTATTCATAACCTTCTACCTTTTTGACATAAATATTGTACTCTACGCATTATGCTCTAAATTTTAAAAATTTTTTATTGTGAAAATACTGTTTGTGCTCTAATTTTTAGAGTTAAAATTTTATATTATTCCTACTCAACACATTTTGCATTTTTTCCAAATCAGTCAGTATATGGAGAGCTGTGTATTTTTCTATAGCATCATACTATTCCATGGTCTGGGTCTGCATGTACTGTGATTTGTATATACACTCTCTTGATGATTGTATTTGGGTTGTTTCCTCTTTTGCTAATACAGTGATGTAATGCATACCATTTCTGTGTTACTTTGTAAGTGTACAACTACATCTACATATGTGTGAGTACAATTTTATTATGGCAAAACAAAACTTGCCATTTGAATCAATTTTCAGTAGCATAAAGTACATTTCCAGAACAAACGCTTCTGGTTCAAAAGATAGACGCATTTGTAATTTTAAAAACATTGACCCCTTGTTTTCCACAGGAGTTGGATCAATTTACACTCCTGTTAGGAACCTGCAAGACTCCTTGTTTCTTCACAGTATGTGTTACTGGATTTAAAGTTCTTGTTATCTGTTCTGTGAAATTGTTCTCAATGTAGTAATAATTTGCAGTTTTCTCTTAAACATTAGATTGAACACCTTTTTATATGCAGAAGGAAGTTCTTTTGAACATGATATGGAGACCCTAGACCATAAAAATGGTGAAAAGATTTGTCTTCATATACAGTAAAAACAAAATAAAAAGCCAATGATGAATGTGTAAGAGATTTTTACAACATATAACCATATGACAAATAAATACACCTGTTATACCCTTGGACTCTTTCTTAGCTTGCTCGCTTTGGGCTAGTGCTCTACCAGTTGAGCCATACCTCCAGTCTTACATTTAGAGATGGAGTGTGGTAAGCATTTTTTTAAAATTTAATTTAATTTTATTTGTGAACATACTGTACAGAGGGGTTACAATTACATGGGCAGGATAATGCGTACATTTCTTACCAAGCATTGCAGCCTCCTCCTTTGGTTTACCCTTCACATCCCTTCCCAGCCTCCCCCCTCCCCCCCAATCCCAATCCTTCTCCTTCCCCCCCCACACCGACATTGTAAAGCTCGTTTTGGACATGACAACTTGTACTTCTCATTGTTGCAACAGGTCCACCTGTATCCTTAAACAACTGGTTTTTCCCCATCTCCTCCACAAGTTATACTGACATCAAATATAGTGAAAGCAGGGGTTATACTGTGGGGGAGGGACATACAAAGCAACAAAGAGATAATCTTATAAATGGGTTAGAAAAACATGCATGAAAGAAAAAAACATTAAAATACATATCTAAGGGTTCATTTTCCTGACATCACATTATCTGACGTTTTCCGCTTGACTCATACATATACTAGATATTGCAAATAAGGGAAACCATGGGACCTATGTTTCTTTGGGACTGGCTTACTTCACTTAATATAATTTTTTCCAAGTTTTTCCATTTCCTAACAAATGGGGCAATGTCATTCTTTCTGATGGAGGCATAGAATTCCATTGTGTATATATACCACATTTTCTTGATCCATTCATCTACTGAGGGGCATCTGGGTTGGTTCCATATCTTAGCTATGGTAAATAATGCTGCAATAAACATTGTTGTGCTGGTAGCTTTAGTGTGGTCTTGTTTGTAAAAATTTGGGTAAATGCCCAAAAGTGGGATTGCTGGGTCATAGGGGAGTTCTATGTGAAGTCTTTTGAGGAACCTCCATACTGCTTTCCAAAGTGGTTGAACAAGTTTACATTCCCACCAACAATGAAGTAAGGTTCCTTTCTGTCCACATCCCCTCCAGCATCTGTTGTTGTTAGAGTTCTTGATTTTTGCTGTTCTAACTGGGGTGAGGTGATATCTCAATGTTGTTTTGATTTGCATTTCTTTTATGGCTAGGGATGTTGAACATTTCTTCATGTGTCTATTGGCCATCCTTCTTTCTTCTTCAGAGAAGTTTCTCTTTAAGTCTTTCGCCCACTTATTTATTGGGCAGTTGTTGCTTTGAGGATTTGTTGTTGGGGGGTTTAATTTTTTGAGTTCCAAGTATATTTTAGATATGAGACCCTGGTCCATTTTATGGCTAGTAAAAATCTTCCTCCAATCCGTGGGCTTTCTATTGATCTTGCTAGCTATGTCATTTGCCCTGCAGAAGCTCTGCAACTTTATGCAATCCCATTTGTCCAACCTTTCTTTGATTTGTTGTGTTTCCGGGTCTCTATTCAAAAAATTTCGGCCTGAGCCAAGGAGACCTAGGGTTTCTCCTATTCCATCCTGTAATGTTTTCAGAGTGTCTGCTTTGACTCCGAGGTCTTTGATCCATTTGGAGTTGATTCTGGTGCAGGGTGATATATAAGGATCTAGCTTTAGTTTTCTACATGTAGTTAACCAATTTTGCCAGTACCATTTACTGAAGAGGCTGTCTTTCTTCCATTCTATTGTTTTAGCTCCCTTATTGAAGATTAGATGGCTATAGTGTGGTGAGCATTTTATGCTATCCTCTGGATATAGATATATACTTATATATGTGTATATATATATGTATATGTATAAATGCATATATTATATATAGTGTATATGTATGTATATATACATATATGCATATGTGTATATGCATATATGTGTATATATTTGTATATATGCATATATGTGTATACATATATGTATGTATATATAGATGTATACACATATATGTATATAAATATGTATATAGTGTATAGTATATTTATAGTGTATTGTATATATAGTGTATAGTATATATGTGTGTGTATATATATGTGTATATATACATATATACATATACATACATATATATATATGTATATATATATATATATATATATATAGTGAGCCACATGCTGCTGGCTCACACCTGTAATCCTAGCTACTCAGGAGGCTGAGAGCTGAGGATCAAGGTTTGAAACCAGCCCAGACAAAAAAGTCCATGAGATTCATTTCCAATTAATCACTAAAAAAATAAGAAATGGAAGTGTAGCTCAAGTGGTACAGAGCCAGCCTTCAACAAAGGACAGTACCCTGAGTTCAAGCCCCAGCACAATAAATAAACAAATAGCACAATTAAAAAAATCAGTAATGAAGGTTGGTGTTGTTCATTTGAGAGCTGAAGAAGTCCCCTTCTCTTCCTATCACGTTGAATGTTTTATAATGAAAAGGTGCTGCATTTTATCAAATTCTTTTTCTGCTTCTCGAGATGCTAATTTGTTTTTTAATAACAGCATAATTGAGGCATAACTCACATCTTAAAATTCATCCTTTGAAAATGTACAATTCGGTGCTTTTTAATATACTCACAGAGTGTGTAACCATCACCACTATGTAATATGAAGATATTTTCATTACCCCGAAAAGAAACCCTGTACTATTAGCAGTCACTTTCCATTACCCGCTCTTCCATCCTCTGGTAACTAATATACTTTCTATCTATGGATTTGGCTATTCTGGACATTTCATAAATAGAATCATGCAATATGTGGCTTTTTTTGTCTGGTTTCTTTCATTTAGCCTTTTACTTCCACAATTTATTTATGATGTAGCATATATCACTGCCTAATTCTTCTGGTGTCAGGACAGTTCTTTTCAACTTCTCTTTTGCCCTGGTTCCCTCTGATAAGCTAGCTGACTTACAGTCTGAATTATTGCCCTTAAAAAGTTTAATTGCTTACTACCAATTCATTTTTCTTTTCCTTTTTTTTTTTGTTTCTGTTTCTTTTTTCCCCAAATCTTTGATTTTTTTCAATAGGGAATTCTTCAGCTTGAACTTCCTCATATTCTGTTTGAAATAAACATATTTCTTTAGGAGATAGCTTGGGACCTTTCTGTTCTTCTGAACGTTCTTTAACCTAAGGCTAAATCTTTGAGCCATTGCTTCAGGGGCTGGGCTGTGGTAGTAGCCGATTGTTTTCTTGATTACCTCTTCAAATGTGGAACTTAGCCCTACAAGTGGACTTGGTTGAGGTAATCAGGGTGAAGGTGATTCGGAACTCAGTATTCTCAGTTATTTGTGCCTAGGGTGAAACCTCTATCCAAATAAATGGGGGCTGGTTAACAGATTTAGCCCCCAAATTCTTGGCTGTACTCACTACTAATTCTACACCTTCAAATCTTATTTGAAGGTGGTGTGAAGTGTTGGCTGCTTGTCCCTCCCATTGAGATATTGTACCCTTGATTGAGAACAGTGGGCAGGTTTTTGTGAATACTTAGTCATTTGCTGTATGCCCTTAGGACAATTTCCAGTTTTCGATTTAAAAAATACTTTTCTGCCTGTTAAGGATGTTCACTGAGGAACAGTTTTGCAGGACTTCTTCTACAGCTATGGGAATGGATGCCTTTCTTACATCGATTTTTTTTTTCAGTCACATAGGGTTTTTGTTTGTTCTGTTATGCTAGTGCTAGAAGGCTGGCTATCCTAAACAGTTCTACCAAGATTTTTTTGTAACCAGGTTTTTACTAATACTTGTTTTTATCTATTAGTTTTCAGGGTTCTTGCTTTTTCTTGCCTTCTTTTTTCTGCAATTCTAGCTTGAACTCAGGGTCTGGTCACTGTTCCTTAGCTTTTTTTTTTTTTGCTCAATACTAATGCTCTACCACTCCAGACACAGCTCTACCTCTGGCATTTTTGTTGATTAATTGAAAATCAAAATCACATAGACTTTCATGCCCCATCTGGTTACAGACCATGAATCTCAGATCTCAGCTTACGAAGTAGCTAGAATTACAGACATGAGCCACCAGCGCCCGGCTTCCTTACTTTAAATGAATCTTGTGATAGTGGTGTCTTCTGAAAAAGTTTTTTTTTTTTCAACAACGTGTATCTGATAATTATTTTTTGTTTTAGGTTTGGCTCCAGTATCTGCTGTTTCTCTACGCCTAGATCACTCTTCAGGATGTTTCCCAAAGTACTGAATACTCACAACTTAATAACTACTGAGGAATTCTCATGTAAGTTTTTCTCTCTCCAAAGAAAATACTGTTATTCCCAAGGAGGCTATTTAACTCACTTTGCCAATGTAAGCTATGGTTCTATGGCTGTTCTGCATCTCACAAGTCATCATTATATTTGACTGTTATAGAACCAAATTGTTATGGCTTTAATGTAAAGTTTTAAAACAAATAATTAAGATGTTGTTATGCCTTAAAATAGTGAATTTAAGCATTTAATTTGTTACACTGTGGTGTTTTGAAAACTACTTCATGAATCTACTGAGACTAGAAAGAGTGGGAATTTTTTCAAATATATCATACACACACACACACACACACACACACACACACACACACACACACACACACACATATATGAAGGGCATAAAATGGGAATTCAGTGTTTAAGTCTGGGTATAGTAATATTCATGTGTTTAGATATGTGCCACCATGCCTTACTTAATTTATTCTTTAAGGTTTACATCAGTGGCTCACGCCTGAAATCACAGCTATGTAGGAGGTTAAGATCTGATAATCATAGTTCAAAAAGCCAGATCTGTTAAGAAAGTCTGTGAGACTCTTATCTCCAATAAACCACAAAAAAAGCCAGAAGTGGAGCTGTGGCTCAGTATTAGAGTGCTAGCCTTGAGCATAAAATCTCAAGGACAGTTCTTAGACCCTGAGTTCAAGCCCCAGGAACAGCACAAAATAAATTTTTAGAAAATAATAAGTTTACTTACAGCCAGGCTCTCATTGTTCAGGCTTGTCATCCTATCTACTTGGGAGACTGAGAACAGGATGATCTTTTCTTAAGTCCAGCCCAGTCATAAAAGACTGTGAGACCCCTTTCTGAACCCATAGCCGAGAATGGTAGCACATGCCTGGTCATCCTAAAATATGTAAAGGACTCAGACTGGGAGGATTTCTGTTCCAGGCTACCCTGGGCAGAAAATTCTATCAGACACTCATCTCAACAGAAAGAAGCTGAAAGTGGTGAAGTACACCTGGCTTCCAAGCTATGACTAGAAGACTAAATATACAGAATGTGGTCCAAGCATGTGCTTTGGTTGAGAGTAAGACCCTGTCTCAACATAACCATCACAAAAAAGGGCTAGAGCCATGGTTCAGAAGTAGAATGTATGTGTAGCAAGCCCTGAGCCCTGAGTTTAAACCCTAATAATGTACTGACAAATCAAAAAGCTTATTTAGGGATGAAATGAATATTTCTTCAAAGCTGGCATATACTAAAAATCAACTCCCTTTATGCTTAATTATTCCTAGGCAGAGATATATACTATCTCTATAACTTTTTTTTTAGTCTTATCAATGCTTGTTGAGTCTCTACCATGCTGTGCCTAATTGGCCAACTATTGAAAGCTATGAGAACTGTGTGTCATGAGAACTTTACAAGTAAGTGTATTTTCAATAAATGTAAAACATACTGGTAGCTCCAGTAAAATACTGAAAAAGGAACTGATTCACTCATGGGCTGAATCATTGAAATATGAATTGTAAGACTCAGAGTCTGTCAAAACCCACTCCTTATGTATCCAAGTCTTAACATCCTTTCTGCAGATGGATATCCTTGCAATTAGCATATCACTTAGCACCACTCCCATAAGTACTTACCCTTCTCTCCATCAGCCTGATATTCCCAGTCCTAGGTGTTTTTTCCCTACTCACCATTCTTCCCACATGTATTTATTTATTTCATTTCAAACAGTTTCGCATGTCTGCATATACAGATTTAGAGCTCTTTGAGATTACTCTGCCCTAGGAATAATCACTACAGCCCTAAGAGAAGCTTCCTTTTTATTTATTTTTTATTGTTATTGTAAAAGTGATATACAGAGGGTTACAGTTACAAAAGTCAGATAAAGAGTACATTTCTTATTTTGCCACTCCTGGGGCTTGAACTCACGGCCTGGGCACTGCCCCTGAGCTTCTGTTACTCAAGCCTAACACTCTACCACTTGAGCCACAGTATCAATTCTGGCTTTTTCTATGATACTGAGGAATTGAACCCTGGGCTTCATGCATGCTAGACAAGCACTCTACCACTAACCACATTCCCAGGCCATACATTTCTTTTTGAACAATGTCATGCCTTCTCCCTCTCTCCCAGTTCCCCCTCACCCCACCCATAAGTTGTATAGTTCACTTTCAACATAGTGTCTAGTAAGTATCCCTCCTCCATTTTTCACCCTTTGTCCCACCATTTCTGTCTCTCCTTGCCCTCTCCATGACAGATAAATGAACAAACAACACAAAAGGAAAAGAAAACAAAAATAGCAACAAAGAAAAATAACCTCCAGTTATCATTCCTTGGACTTCATTTCGATAAATAATATTTTATATGATCAGATGCACATAACTGTTGCACCTTTGTGATTCTCTCCTGAGAATATCCTCCCTTGGTCTCTGTGTGAATGCTTAGAGACCTGTATAATTTATCATGTCCTGGTGTATATTTATTATAACCTCCATTGTGTTTGCTTTCAGATTTGTAGGCAATATTCTAGTTGCCAAAAACGAGGGAAACCATGAAACCTTTGTTTCTTTGGATCTGGCTTACTTCATTTAATATAATTTCTTCGAAGTCTTTCAATTTCCTTATGAATGGTACAATATTATTCTTTCTGATGGATGAATATAATTCAATTGAGTATATGTACCACATTTTCTTGATCCATTTGTCCACTGAGGGGCATCTGGATTTATTCCATATCTTGACTATGGTAAACAATGCAGCAATGAACATGGTTGTGCTGGTGAAGCTTCCTTTTTATTAATCTTATTTTTTTCCAATGAGAAGGTTATGATGTCTAATCCCAGCATGGGGTAAGGTATATAATTATCAGGAGCAGAGTAGGAAAATTGGATGATAGGTAGGACCTTTTAAAGTTTATTTCCACTATTTTATATAATGGTTTTTAAGACTACAAGAATGAAGTTTATTTATTTTGGGGGCCAGTACTGGAGCTTGAACTCAGGGCCTGGGCACTGTCCCTTAGCTTTTTTGTTCAGGGCTAGTACTCTACCACTTGTGCCACAACTCCACATCTGACTTTTTGGTGATTAATTAAAGATAAGAGGCTCATGAACTTTTTGACTGGACTGTCTTGGAACTGTGATCCTCAGAACTCAGCCTCCTGAGTAGCTAGATTTGCAAGTATAAGCCAGGAGTGCCCAGCCAGAATGAAGTTTATTTAAATATAAAACTAGATTTAGTATGCCGTTATTTTGTATTATTTATATATCTATGATAATATTTACTTACACAGGCAATATTAATTTATTAAGTACTTTAGCCTAAAGTTGTAACTTACAAAATCAGACTGAAAAATCCTTCACTTTCCATTTCATTACTGCTTTTGAATGGAAATATTGTTATTTGAATATGCCATGCCTATTTTATGCCTTTTAAAAATACTGTGAAACATAAAGAATATACTGTGTAAAATGTTAAAATAGCCATACCTTTTGTGTGCTGGTTCTGGGGCTTGAACTCAGGGCCTTGGCACTGTTCCTGAGCTTTTGCTCAAGGTCAGCACATCACCGTTGGAGCCACAGCTCTACTTCTGGCTTTTTTTTTTTTTTTGTCGGTCGTGGGGCTTGAACTCTGGGCCTGGGCGCTGTCCCTCAGCTCTTCAGCTCAAGGCGAGCGCTCTACCACTTGAGCTACAGCGCCACTTCCGGTTTTCTGGTGGTTTATTGGAGATAAGAGTCTCACGGTCTCTCCTGCCCGGGCTGGCTTTGAACCGCGATCCTCAGATCTCAGCCTCCTGAGTAGCTAGGATTACAGGCGTGAGCCACCAGCGCCCGGCTTCTACTTCTGGCTTTTAAGAGCCTCACAGACTTTCCCGCCTGGTCTGAATTTGAACTGTTCACCTCGGATCTCAGCCTCCTAAGTAGCTAGGATTACAGGGGTGAGCCACTAGCCCCCGGCACCACACACCCCCTTTTTTATAAGACCAATGATTCCCTTGTCTTTTGACTGATAGGTGTTAATTTCACAAAAGTACTTGCAGCACGTTTGGAGGGATTATTTTATCTATTTACACATTTTTAGTTCGCTAATTTTTGTTTAAAAAACCATACATACATGCATATATGCATAGATCACTTCCTCTAGAGAAACAATGTTTATCTTTTCAGTATTTTCTAAAACATGTAAATCCGTTTTGTAAAAATAAGACTATTCTATCCTACTACCAATACTTGAATCTACCATTTCCTCTTACATGTACATTTTTACATATCTGTATCAGGATATACAGATTTTTTTAATTAAAATTCTTCCTTGGGGGCTGAGAAGGTGGCTCAGTGGTAAAGTGCTTGCCTTACATGCATGGGGCTCTAGGTTCGATTCCTCAGCACCACATAAGCAGAAAAAGCCGGAAGTGGCTCTGTGGCTCAAGTGGTAGAATGCTAGCCTTGAGCTGAAGAGCTGAGGGACAGCGCCCAGGCCCAGAGTTCAGGCCCCACGATTGACAAAAAAAAGTCTTCCTTGGAGCTAGGCATCAGTAGCTCATGTCTAATTCTAGCTACTCAGGTGGCTGAGATCAAGAGGATCATGATTTGCAGCCAGCCAGGGGTGAAAAACATACAAGAGGGCTAGAGGTATGGTTAAAATGGTAGAGTACCAGATGAGCAAGCTAAATGCCCCGAGTCCAAACTTCAAATCCTGGGGGGGGAAGGGTGGGAGGGGTGGAGGGAGGGGAGAATCTCCTTGAGATGAAGATATATTCACTTATATGAAGGATTCTTTAAAAAAATCTTTTTTTTCCTTGAATATTGGTAGGTAGTATTTACTAATGTTTGATTGATTTAATGCAGTTGGTCTTTTGATAATATCATTAATTTTCAACATTTCCCAAAATAATTTCCTTTCAGATAAGATTTTGTTTTTCAGATGAAAAATATGTTGAAATCTGTCTTAAAGAATACAATCCAGGATCCAATCTGTGCTCTCACTTATGTTCCAGTTTGTAGTGACCACAGAGATATGATGATTGGTTATCGTCTTCTTATTCTACCTTCACTAGAGCTAACAAAAAGAAGAAGAAATTAGTGCCAAAAATGAAACGGAATCTTCTGAAAATGTCTAGTATAGACATTGATCTGGCACTGTTTCCTCAAAGGACGTAGAATTCAAGAATTGTTCATAAGGAAGTTTTAGGACTGCCTATGTGAAGTAGTACATATGTTGAATTCAGTTATTTTCTTTTTATCTAGGTTTTTCTTTTTCAGCTGCCCACTGCTGTCTTCTCTTGCTGCCTTCCTGCTTTATACCTCCTTCCTACTTTGGATTTGTTTATAGCACTTCGTTTCTGCTTTATGGCCTTCGTGTCTTTTCTATTGTCTCTACCAACAGTTTGATTCCTTCTACATTTTGGGAGAGATTTCCATTTCTGCCCCTTGTTTGATTATTTCCACATTTCTGTAAGTATTTATGTAAGTATTCAACTTATTTCTATCTAGAGTTGTACTCTTCTATATTGCTAAGCTTTTCAGAATTGGATTCTGATCCACCTCACCTTACTCCTGTTGAATTTTTTTGTTGTTGTTGGTCGTGAGGCTTGAACTCTGGGCTTGGGCGCTGTCCTTGTGCTCTTCAGCTCAAGGCAAGTGCTTTACCGCTTGAGCCACAGCGCCACTTCCAGTTTTCTAGTGGTTTATTGGAGATAAGAGTCTCACGGATTTTCCTGCCCTGGCTGGCTTTGAACGGTGATCCTCAGATCTCAGCCTCCCGAGTAGCCAAGATTACAGGCATGAGCCACCGGTGTCCAGCTAGGCACTAGAGCTTTTTGTACCAGACTCTGCCTTGAGCTAGTAGCACATAGATGGCTTCCTGTGCTTCACATGCCTATCCTTGGCTCAATCAACCATGAACCAGGAGCAAAAGCCTGAGTGGATGTGTGTACCTGTTCCAGCAGCAGCAGTGAGGTCAGTCAGCTCACTTAGTGCATGTGGCAGACCATAATTTCCCTATTCCTCCTCTCAAAAGCCACAGTTTTCTGAGCCATATGCTTTAAATGTGCAGGGTACAGTGAGAATCCAAAGTGCTCTCTAAGTTCAGAAAGAGAAAAGAGAACTAAGTAAGAGAGAGGAAAGCAATAAATTTGAGGTTGAAGACTTTAAGCTAGTCTGTGAAGTATATTCAGCCTTACATGTAGAAGAGGCAAGACATTATAGTAGAGGTGCAGCAGAAAGACAGGAAAGAGGTTCTGAGCTATACACAAAAGTTTGCTGGGCTTTTGCTTGTTGGATTGGGAAAGATGTATGTCAGTTGTTACGCTCAAGATAAATAGGCACTCTCCTCCATTGATGGAATATATATTGGCAAAATGATTTTGATAGGGCAATTTCACAAAACATATTAAAATTGAAAGCATACTGATCCATTAACCCAGAAATTTCATTCATAGAGATTATTTACTGTTGTGTAAGTATGCCAGAAACAGAGAGATTCTGTGAAATTATAATTATTCTTTCCTCAAGTTTAGAAGAATTTACTAGTGAGGTCACCTGGGGTTTGGATTTTTGTTTATGGGAAAAATTTTGCAGATTGATGGCAGTTTCTTTAGTGCTTTAAACGCTGGCTGTGTTTTAATTTTTAATGAATTCATTCAGGAGTTTCAGGTTTTCAGCAGGAAAGTTAATCCAGATATTTGGTCTGCTTTGTATCACTGCATAATACAACAGTGGTGAGTCCAAATCCACAGCTTTGATTTCTACTTCACATTTTAGCAAATACCTCTGTAGTTTTTCATTTTGAGTGATCAAGGTTTTAAAAGAAACAGGTTTCTCTTTCTTACTGACTCATGTATTTTGTTTTCCAGCTACAACTTCAACAACTGCCACAATCACAGTTCCCACCAATACCACTACTACAACCACTAGTGGCTTTCATCTGAATCTACACCCATGGATTCATTTCAATGTTCATTCGATTGCTGCTACTACATCTGTGCCGTAAGCATATTTATTTCAAACGAACTGGTCTTGTCAACTATTTTTTATTTTAGTCTTTAACATACATGTGACAGTATGGAGGTTCCTCAAAAGACTAAACATAGAGCTCCACTATGACCCAGCAATCCCACTCCTGGGCATTTACCCAAATGCCCACAAACAAGGCTACACCAAAGCCACCAGCACAACCGTGTTCATTACAGCATTATTTACCATAGCTAAGATATGCAGTCAACCCAGTTGCTCCTCAGTAGATGAATGGATCAAGAAAATTTGGTATATATGCACAGTGGAATTCTATTCTTCTATCAGAAAGAATGACATTACCTCATTCATAAGGAAATGGAAAGACTTAGAAAAAATTATATTAAGCAAAGTAAGCCAGACCCAAAGAAACAAACTGTATGGTTTCCCTCATTTGTCTAGGATATTATTAGCAGATAATCACAATGGCTCAATAGCAATGTGAATATGACCATATAAAATGGAGTTTATTGAAATAAACTACAAGAAATGGAAAAAGATGGTAATTGTTTTTAATTTTTTTTATTGTGAAAATACCATACAGAAGGGTTACAATTACATGAGTAAAGGAATGAGTACACTTCTTATCAAGCATTGTTGCCTCCTACTTTGTTTCCCCTTACCATCCCTGTACTCCCCCCACCCCCACCGACAAAGTTGTAAAGTTCGTTTTTCGACATAACATATGTCTCATTGTTGCAATGGGTCCACCTGTATCCCTATTTAAACAATTTGTTTTTTCCCTTCTCCTCCATAAAGTATAGCAACATCAAATACAGTGAAAACAGGGGTTATACCGTGGAGGAGCAACATACAAAGCAACAAAAAAATATAAATATGTTAGAAACAATAGAAAGAAAAACCATTTGAGTCCTTATCTTAGGGTTCATTTCCCTAACATCAACTTATCTGACCATTTCTGCTTGTCTCAGACATATACTAGTTATTGCAAATAAGGGAAACCATAGGACCTATGTTTCTTTGGGCCTGGCTTATTTCACTTAATATAATTTTTCTAAGTCTTTCCATTTCCTAACAAATGGGGCAATATCATTCTTTCTGATGGAGGCATTGAATTCCATTGTGTATATATGCCACATTTTCTTGATCCATTCATCTATTGAGGGGCATCTGGGTTGCTTCCATATTTTAGCTATGGTAAATAATGCTGCAGTAAACATAGTTGTGCTGGTAGCTTTAGTATGGTCTTGTTTATGATCATTCGGATAAATGCCCAAAAGTGGGATTGCTGGGTCATAGGGGAGCTCTATGTGGAGTCTTTTGAGGAACCAAAGAGGTTTTTTTTTTTTAAAAAAAAAAGTTTTATCGTCTTAAATATGTTAGAAACAATAGCAAGAAAGAAAAAACATTTGAGTCCTTATCTTGGGGTTCATTTCGCCTAACATCAACTTATCTGACCATTTCTTCTTGTCATACGGTATTTTCACAATAAAAAACAAAATTTATCCACATATAAGGCACAATTTGCTTGTATGTCTTTTGAGCATTTTTGAAAGCTAGATAATGAATTGAATGAACAGTTAGAGAAAGATTACTGTAGCTCAGGACATTGAACAACTGAAAGCCTTCTGAATCCTATTGTAATGCCATTGTTACCATTACTAATGATAGCTTCCATTTATTTTGCAATTACTGTATGTTTAGCAGGATGGCAATGTTTTAAAAGTATCACATCACTTCTCACAACTATTCCATGAGACAGAGATAGACACTATTTTGTTCCTATATATAGATGAAAAATTCAAGCAGATTCTAGAGCATGTATTCTTACATATTATATAAAACATGCTATATTGCTTTTCCCAGATAACATTTTGCATTATTATGGTACAGTAGCATAGTCAGAATATTTATGTTGATACAAAGTATAGCTTAGTTCCATCACTGCAAGGATGCCTCCTTTTGGTTTTTTAATAGCCACACCCACTACATCCCCATTCTTTCCCCAGCCCTGGGCAAAAAATGAGCCTGTACTTCATTTTGGTAATCTTGGCATTTGACACATTCATAATCTTTGGAGTACTTTATTTGTGTGTGCTGATCCTGCAGCTTGAACTCAGGGCCTGGGCACTGTCCCTGAGATTTTTTGCTTAAGGTTAGTACTCCATCATTTGAGTCACAGTTCCACTTACATATTTTTTTTTGATGGTTAATTAGAGATAAGTCTCATGGACTTTTAGGCCCAAGCTGGCTCTGAACCATGATCCTCAGCTTCCTGTTCATTTTTTAAAAAAAAATTTGATCAGTATTTCAAGGTATTGTGTTGTACCCATGATTTGGCTAACCATTTATCTAGACTGTTTCTAGTTTTTTGGTCCTAAAGATGGCATTAACATTCATGTATAGGGTTTTTATTTTTGTGAATCTAAGTATTATATCCCTGAGATAAATGTCCAGGAATGTAGTTACTTAGTGAAATAGTATTTACCTGGTTTTCTTTTAATTGTCAAGGTGATGTACAGAGGAGTTTCAGTTACATAAGTAAGGTAATGAGTACATTTCTTGTCAACCTTGTTATCCTTTCCCTCAATTTTTTCCTACTTTTCCTCCCTCATTTCCCCTCAAGTTGTACAGATCATTTCCAACATATTGTCTTGTGTATATTGCTGTTGCATTGGTTCCTTCTTTGTTCTTTGTTACCTGTTTTTTTCCTAAGTGTGAACCTTTTTAAAGTGTCTCTGTTTTTTTGTCAGTTGTGAGGCTTGAACTCTGGGCTTGGGCATTCTTTCCAGGCTCTTCAGCTCAAGGTGAGCACTCTACAACTTGAGCCACAGTGCCACTTTTGGAGATAAGAGTCTCATGAAGTTTCCTGCCCGGGCTGGCTTTGAACCTCAATCCTCAGATCTCCTGAGTAGCTAGTATTACAGGCATGAGCCACTGGCACCTGGCTCTACTTTCATATTGTTTTATTCTTCAGTTTTGATAGTTATGTATTCCAGATACCAGTTCTTTGTGTGATATATGGTTTATAAATATATTCTCTAATTCTATAATTTGTCTTTTCATTCTCTTAATAGTCTTTTTGCTGAAAAAAATAAGCTGTAATGTCTCCATTTTTCTTTTAATGGAAAAATTGTGCTTTTAGTTTCAGTTATAAAAGAACAATTTGTGTAGCACAAGATCCCAAAGATTTTTCCTGTATATTTTGTAAAAGTTTTGTAATTTTACATTTAAGTTTATGATTCATTTTGAGTTAATTTTCATGTAAGGTAAGAGATTAAGATCAACGTTAATATTTTTCCTATAAGTATTCAATTTTCCCAACATCATTTGTTGAAAAGCTGACTTCCTCTACTTACTTTTGCACCTTTTCTACATTTTAAAATATAAATAAACTTTTATTTATTTGTATATGTATCAGTTAGTTGTAAAATGTGCATACAGTCTATATCGACCAGACTCTCCCCTGTTTTTCCTCCCCATTTTTCCTTTCCTCTACCCAAACCAATCTTAACCAATAGGCTTCATAAAGTATTTAACCATATTCAGCCTCCTGTCTCCTCTTTGTTTATCCTTTCTCCTCCCACTAATACCTACAATGAAAACAGAACATTCATTTCACCTTTCTAACATTTATAGTTCATGTTATTGTTCAAAGGGACTTCACTACTGTGTCTCACATGTACTGTACTTTGATCAAATTGACCTATTCACTTCCTGTCACTATCCTCAACCACTTACCTCCTATTATTCAACAGTTTTCAATGCGTTTAATTTTATCTCCATTCACAGATATAGTGTATTTTGAGATTATTCACCTAACATTGTTTTTTCCTTCCCTCTTCTTATAAGAAGCATTCCTACAAGTATAACCTATATGCACACATGTACACATGTGCGTGGGCACACACAGGGTCCTGTGTATGTTTATATGTATATATGTTTACTTTTAGGTCTACCATCCATATATGAAAGAAATATATGTACAATCTTAGTCCTTCTGAATCTGGCTTACTTAGTTCAAAATGATGTCTCTATAGTCACCCATTTCCCTCAAAATGATATAAATTCATTTTTGTTTATGATCAAATACTTTATGAAATGTATGTACCACATTTTCTTGATAACATGCAATAGTTGTAGGGAATCTGGGATGTTTCCATAATTTAGCTAGTGTGACTCATGCTACAATGAAGATGGTGTACAGGTATATCTATTGTATCCTGACTTGTATTCATTCTGATAGATGTCCAAGAATTGTATGGAAAGATCAGAGCAAAGGTGTCTAGTTTTAGTTTTTTGTGGAACCTGCATTCTGATTTGCACAGTGCTTTCACTAGTTTACATTTCCAGCATCAGTGTATAAGTTTCATTTTCTCCCACATCCTCACCAGCATTTGTTGTTTGTGTCCTCAATAAAGGCCATTCTGACTGAGGTGAGATGAAATGAGCCATTTTGATATGCATTTCCTTTATAGGATGTTGAGCATTTCTTCATGCATTTAATGGCCTTATTTATTTGCTCATTTGTAAATTGGATTGTTTATTCTTTCAGACTTCAGTTTTCATTGTTTTGTTTTTGTTGCAGGGCTTAAACTCGGAGTTTGGGTGGGGCACAAAATGACTTGCTTACTGATGGCTGGTACTCTACAAATTAAGCCATGCCTCCTTCCTGCCTTTTCTTTTTTCTGGTTAAGTACAGATAGAGTCTCAGACTCTTTTGCCTAAACTGGCTTTGAACTGCTATCATCCAGATCTCACCTTTCTGAGTAGCTAGAATTACAAACGTGAGCCACTCTCACCTGACAGGAGTTTAATTATTTTAGTTCTCTGAATATCTGGTTATCATATGTATATCTTGCAAAAATTGTCTCCCATTTTGTAGGCTTCATCATAATGACCATTTCCTCTGTGGTGCAGAAGTTTTATTTTGTTTTGTTTGTTTTGTTTTAATCCCATTTGGGCTTATTTGCTTATTGGAATTCTATTCAGGAAGTTACCACCTATCTTGTGTTTTAGGGTTTTACTGTGTGGCTGAGGAAGGTCTTGAACCTGTGCTCAAATGGTCCTTCTGCCTCAGTTTCCCAAGTAGCTGGAAATACAGATGTGCACTCATCATGTCTGATGCTTTTGCAGCTTTGTTAAAATTCAATTCCTATCTCTTATTGGTACCTATCCCTCCAACAGGGCCTGTTTCATTTTTTGACATTCTTTAAGATTTTTTTTCCTTTATCTTGATGACTTTGCAAATTGTATTGATTGACTTTGAAATGTCTAGACAGCATTATATATGTGGGATGATTGCTGCTAGGTCATTGTTTAATATTTTTACGTGCATGTGTGTGTATTTCTATATGCACTTTGATTTTTTTGAGAATTTTGTCAAAATTCATGGGGGATATTGGTCTGAAGGATTTTATTTCCCACATTTGGTTTGGATATCAGTGTAATCCCTACCTTATAAAATGATCTTGTAGGTATACTTTTACCTTCTAAAAGAAATTATAAGAAGTGGGAGTTGATTTATTAAATGATGAGTAAATTCTCCGGTGAAACCTTCAGGGCCTAAGTTATTCTTTTATGGGATCTTTTACAATACAAATCAACATTTTTAATGTTTCTAGATCTAGTCAGGTTGCCTAGTTCATCACCAGTGCTTGGCTTCCATTTTGTGTGTGTGTGTGTGTGTGTGTGTGTGTGTGTGTGTGTGTGTTTTAACATATTACTTTGTTTACTTTTCTTACTGGTTACTTTGGGTATTAATTAAATATACATGTGCAACTAGTAACAATGTAGTCATACTGACTTTTTAGCACTTTGACTAAATTATAGAAGCCTTATTACAATTTATTCCTTGAACAGAACATCTTTTTAAGTATAATTGTCTAAATTATTTCTTCTATGTACAATGAACATAACAAAATGGAGGTTTATAATTTTTGTCTCAGCAATCAAATATCAAATAAGAAATTTATGAGAAATAGAATAGTATGCCAGGCGCTGGTGGCTCATGTCTGTAATCCTAGCTACTCAGGAGGCTGAGATCTGAGGATCGCTGTTCAAAGCCAGCCCAGGCAGGAAAAGTCCGTGAGACTCTTTTCTCCAATAAACTACTCAGAAAACCAGAACTGGCGCTGTGGCTCAAATGGTAGTGTGCTAACCTTGAGCTGAAGATCTGCCCAGGCCCAGAGTTCAAGCCCCATGACCGACAAAAATCAAAAATAAATAAGTAAAAGAAACAGAATAGTATATTTACCCTTCTTTTCACCCATTTTGACATTCTTTTTCATTTATATGATGCTCCTAATCTTCCATTTTCATTTCCTTTCTGTGTAGTGAATAATTGTCAAGGGCAGGTATGTTAGCAACAAATCAGCTACATTTTACTTTGTATGAGAATATTTTAATTTACTCCTATTTCTGAAAGACATTTTCATCAGCTACAGAAGGCTTTGTTTGTTTGTTTGTTTGTTTATTGTGAGAATACCGTACAGAGGAGTTACCATTACATGGGCAAGATAATGAGTACATTTCTTTTTTTAAAATTATTTTATTGTGAAAATACTGTACAGAGGGGTTACGATTACATGGGCAAGATGAGTACATTTCTTATCAAGCATTGTAGCCTCCTCCTTTGTTTCCCCTTCCCATCCCTTCCCATCCTCCCCCCGCCCCCCCACCCAGTCCTCCCCACTTCCTCCCCCGCACCAAAGTTGTAAAGTTCGTTTTCGACATAACGACTTGTACATTTCTTTGTTGCAATGGGTCCACCTGTATCCCTATTTATGAGTACATTTCTTATCAAGCATTGTTGCCTCCTCGTTGTTTCCCCTTCCCATTCCTTCCCATACTCCTCTCCGCATTGTTTTAAAAGTATGATTATACATTAAAAACATGATCATACTGTATCCCTTTTATGTTATAGCTCAATAGTAACTCCTGTGGTGACATATGCTCGTCTGAATGATATGACCAGGAATGTAAAGCTTGAGCTACCAGATGAAGACAAGAAATTTCTGCAACTGGCCACCCAAGTCAGTATTTGGGACCGTAAATTGGATGCGAATCTTGAGGAGGTAATCTACCTGCATTGTATAAGTATTTTTCGATGAACAAGAAAATAGGCAAACTTTTTTTGTGGTTAGTTTTCTACTGAAGTACTGGTGTGCAGTTTGAAAATATTTTTCTTAGGTCCTAAGTCCCTCAATTAGGAAATGTTTCATATTTGAGATATATTTGAGAAAATAGTGCTATGAAATGATTAAAGTCAAATAAACTTTCATTTTTATTTCTCTCCAAAGCTTACTGCCTTACATGGAAGAATGGAAAAAGTGAAAATGCATCAAAGAAGGTAGTCGAACCATAGATTTGCTTGGTTGTGAAATTGAAGATCTATTGTTCAGAGATTTTTTTGCCTTATAATTTACTTATATTGGTTTTGTTACTCTGAATTTCTTTCATCAACGCTTCTGCTAACTTGTTTCATTCAGATTGAAACTTGAACTGAGCTGTCTGATGGTAGAGCAGAAGGAGCTACAAGAAATGCTGAACCCTATTGAGACCTACATAAAGCAGCAGAATGAGGACCTTAATGTGGAAAATGACAATGAGGAATCTTAGAAGATGTAAGTATCTGAGTAAAGACTGAGGAATGAGGCACAACTTAGGTTCCTTTGAGAACCTAAGAGAGGGAAAATTGGATCCACAGTCAAGTGATAAAGGTTGGTAGAAAAGGACAGATTTTTATAGGTGATCTTTTGTGTTTATCTTTTCTGGATACTTGGAAATGAATTTTGTTTTTTGACCTTTTGCACATTGTGACTAATCTCACACTTATGTATGTGTACTCCAAAGTCCTTATATTTGTCAAGTTTGCTCTTAAATTATTTTATTTGAATAGTGTCATTGTATTGTGGAATATTTATGGTGTCTTATCTACATTGACTCTTCTAAACCAAATGATTTGCTATTTTAAAGGCAATTTTTTTATATCAGTATAAATTACAAAACTTTCAAAAAATGACATAGCTTTGTCAATGTTGTAGGCAAGGTGTATTTTATTTGTATACTAATCAGTCTTTTCAGTCTTTGCTGTCTGTGAGTTTATTGTCATTCCTATTGTGACTTTATCTCTGTGGAACCTAGATTTAGTAACCAGATAAATTTAAAGAGTATTAGGCAACCTTGCATGAAATACTTATTACTACATAATCTAAATTGAGACTAATTTACCCTAATCAGCAGCTTACTAGTTAGTTCAGATTGAGCTTTTTTTGTTTTGTTTTGTGTTCTGAGACAGGTCTCACTATGTTTTTCAGGTTAGTCTCAAACACCTAAGTTCAAGGGACTCTTCTCTCTCAGCCTCCTGTTGCTGGAACTGCAGATACATGTCATATACCTAGCTGAGCTTATTTTTTATTCCATTATTTTGTTTTGTGCTAAAAGTACCGGGGCTTGAACTCAGGGATTCACACACTTGCTTGGCTGTATTGCTCACAGATTGCACTGTACCACTGTGCCATGCCTCTGGTCCATTATTTTTGTTCATTAGTTAATTGTAGGTAAGTGTCTGCTTTGGTGGATTCAAATCTTGATCCTTTAATTACAACCATAAGCCACTGACACACAGATTTTGAGCTTTTTTTGGCAGTCCTGGGGCTTGAACACAGGTCCTAGCCACTGTCCATTAGCTGCTTTTGCTCAAGGCTAGTGCTGTATAACATGAGCCACAGCACCACTTCTGGCTCTTTCTGTTTATGTGGTACTGAGGAACTGAACCCAGTTTCATTCATGAATGATAAGGAAGTACTCTACCACTAAGCCACATTTCCCACCCCTTGAGCTTATCTTTAAAAGGCTTACAAAGTAAAAATTTTTTTTTCAGTCATGGGGCTTGAAGGGCCTGGGAAATGTCCCTGAGCTCAAGGCCGGTGCTCTACCACTTGAGACACAGCACCACTTCCAGTTTTTCTGGTTAACTGGAGATAAGAGTCTCATGGACTGTCTTGCCCAGACTGGCTTTGAATTGTGATCCTCAGATCCCAGCCTCCTGAGTAGCTAGGCTACAAAGTTAACTTTTTATTAGGGACATTAAATATAGTAAGTACAGCTAATTTGCACTGGCTCTAATTCTGTTTCTGTTTTCATATTTCAACCTTTCCTCATTTATCTCTTCTTTCCTTCCTTTGTCTCTCCCTCCCTCTTGCCTTCTTTCCTGCCTTCCTCTTTGTTGAGGGGGAGTAGTACTAAGTTTTGTATATTCTATTGTTTTTTTAGAAACAGTTACATTTTTGGTCATAATATTTTAACTGTGGTTTGAAGAAATCTTTGAAAGGCTAATTCCTTTCCAATTACTTCTTTTTAGTCAAGTTTATATTTTGATATAACTTTCACCAGAGTCTTCAACTATTTGGGAAGCAGATTGTCTATAAGTACTTTGGTGCAGGAAGTGAGTAGATGATACTAACCAACAAATTTAATTGAGTCTTAATTTTTATAGGCATTAAACTTAAAACGCCTTAGTCCACTTTAATTTTTGTAAACATATTTATTGAGTAGGTTAGGTGTGTGTGTGTGTGTGTGTGTGTGTGTGTGTGTGCGTGCGCACGCGCGCGCGCATGCGCGCATGTATAGCAAATAGGTTGAATGAAACAGAATTTAGACAACTAATCAGTTTGTTGTGCAGTTCAATTTATGTACCTTTGAGTATTTTAAAGTTCATTTCTTAAATCATATTTGTTTCATGGTGGAGTGTATTTATATTTATATAAGGTTTTACTTTGAAAATGTACATATACTTTTTCATTGAAGACCATTCAGCATTTATTGATTAATGTTAAGTACTAGTTTATGTATACCTAAAGGCTCTTTGAATGTATTTTGACCTTCAGTGTTCCTTTGCTTCAGGGCTTACTTGAACATTAGGCAGAAGATAAATAGGTGACAATAAAAGTGGCAAAGTAGATTTTTAAAAAAACTTTCATCTTTGGAGTCTTAGAACATGGTGGTAACATGGTTATGAATAGTGTATCTATGAGGCTGCACCACTAGTCATAACTGAGACTCCCTGAGAAGGTAATGAGAATTGACATAAATGCAGTTGTCAATTTTGTTCTTATATATCAGTAATAGTAAATGTGGAGAAAACATTTCTTGTTCACCCCTTTATTTCATATGCCTTTGCAGTGATAAATTAGCAGAAATTATCAATGCTGAGCTGAATAGTGCTGAAACTGGGTTTTTAAACCCAAGGGAGGCCCAAAGTCTAGGAGCCCATTGTTAGGTATGGTCACTCACCCCTATAATGTCAAATAAAGAAACATGGTGAAGGACAAAGAAAGAAAGTTTATTACATGTAGCCATGGGAAAATGAAACTTCAGAACAACTTCAGCCATCTTTGGGGGTGCAGACATTGGCCTCAAGTTAAACAGAGAGAATTGGGGGCAGGAGGTGAGAAAGGTATAGTTAAAACAATCTCAAGTCACAGGTATGGCCTGTTTGACTCTATTGGCTTGGTGGGTAGTCTGTAGCTTTTGTCTGTTCTCTTCATGGTGATAAGATGACATTACTTATGTGAAAGGCAGTTTGCCTTTTATCACAAGATGCCTATTAGTGAATCCTGTTCTTCCTGGAGTCCAATTGATTGTAAAGTGACTGCAGCAGGGAATGACTCAGAACAAAGGGCATAGATTTAAAGTGAGGGGGCTGAATGTCCAGCTTTTAGTTACTTCACAGGTACTGAAAAATCATCTTTTAGTTGCCTCTTAAGTGTCCCAAAATCTCAAAAGACATTACTGGCCACCCAAATACATTTTCAAGTACTGCTGATATGACTGACCCAGTGTTTGCAGCTTTATTTTGTATTTAAACAACCAAGAGTTAGTAAGAAATCAATGGGTCTTTTAGTTAGTGACCTTCTTCTGTCTTTTACAGTCTCCTTATCTGACTACAGAAATACAGTTTTTTTGCATCATTACTGGAGCAGTGAATACATAGAGGTAGACATGGCTGTGAGTTTTTTGTGATTATTCTCAGGATAGTACAACAATGACTCTTTCCTCCCAGTATGCTCAAGATTTTCTCCTTGTTAGGAGAATTAAATATATCCAGCTACTTATTTTTTTCTGTTCACTTACTACTTGTTCATTTTTCCTTTTACATACTTATTCATTCATTTAAATATGAGCAGATATGTTTGAATCTGTTAGATATACCCAGGCAAGCTTTAATTTGTGAATAGGTTCTATCTTTAAAAATATGGTGTTAAATATTATCTTAACATTTTTCCATAGAAATTACATTAACTGTGATCATTAGCTTTTCACCTGTCCCACAGAATATAATGCAGCTCATAATGTAAATGCATTGCATTATGGGTGTATACAACTGAGGCTCCAGTTACAGTCAAGGTGCTGTGGATTAATTTAGCCATAAGAAAGTATTGGTTTTTCCCTTTTTCTATACTATAATTAAAAGAGCTTATTTTCTCTACTTTTCCCTATTGTCTTAGTAGCTAAATGGAGTCCTCTTTTCCCCCACTCCCACTCTGTAGCAGTAATAGGAAGAGGAATCTCCCATTATGGGAGCCCCTATTGTGCTTTCGATCAGTTAATTACAAGTAGAAGTGAGACCAGGATCTGGATAAATGAGAATGAATGACATACACATAAGTGGTGATTATTCTGTAGTAAGCTCTTTGTCCAATTATATCCAGACAGTTCTTTATCTGCATACACATTACCAGCTTTTTTAATTATAAAGAGACAGCGTGTTATAGTTGAGAAAGCATTAGAATTTTGTTTAAGTCACTTAATCTCTGAGTCTTAGCTTCTTTTGCAAAATGTCAAGGATAGAATAAATGATCTTTAAGTCCCTTCTAGCTATAAAAATTATGTCATTCTATACTTCAGGCAAATCTAAAGTTGAACAAAGACAAATATAAATTAGTCCAGGATTATTCATGCTGCTATCTCCCTGCATTCACACAGATGATTAAGAGTGGTCAACTATAGATTTTCTTTTAATGTAATATTAGATCATTATCAAAACCTAAAATTACTTTGTTGTAATAGAATTTTGATGCATAGATAAATACATGCAGATTTAGACATGAAACAGAGCTTGATGTTTAGTCCCTCTGCATTGAATTAATATAAGGAGATGTTCTTAGCAGAATAGGTAAAAGGCAGTTATAATCCTTTATCCTTTTTCTCTACTTAGCCCTAGATTGCTTTATTTTATTTTAGTAGTGGATCAGAAAGTGTTGATTTTTGTTTTTCCTGACATGAGTGATTGAGATGTTTAGGATGAGTGAGTAAAGGATAATTACTGCTTGAATGCAGTAAAAAAAGAAACAAGAGTTCATCAACAACTCATCTCTTTTTCAGATAGCATAAATCATTGAACAGGAAACAAAAGCATTTTCTGAATGATAATATTCCTATATACAACTTATTGTACCTACCAGTATGTTACTATGGGCCATAGATCAGAGTAGAAAAATAGCACTTATGTGTTTCAGTATTCATGGAGATGGGATTCACCTGCCTACTTTTCTCTTCTTTTTTTTGGAGAATGGAAGAAGCCACCTGATAATTAAGTTTCTATTAAGTCACTTTATACTAC